CTACTGATAGTAATGTTTACGATATGCTTATATTCTCTATAGTGTGAATACTTTACTGTACACATATGTTTAACTTGTTCCAAATATATATATATTATTTGAAAACAAGTAAAGTGTGTGCTGTTTATTCATCATTAAATTTATTACTAAAAAGTCACAGACACCTACTGCGGAAGAATCCTAAGCCCAACAACAACATAGTATATATTTATACTATTAAGAAATATAAGTAAAAGCCATTTGTTTCGACAATTGGCAAAAACAGAAACAAAAAAAACAAAAAAACTAAGAATCCATATATATATAAGAATATTATTTTAAATTCTGACAATTGGGAAGCCAGCCAGGATTATACAGCAGTAAACAGCGATAGAGGAAAAAAAGTTTTCGTCAGAAGTTCAGGAGTCAAACCCGACACTGGAGAAACTGTATTTCGGTTTGTGGCATGTCTGCTGCAATATTTCACCAGATGGACTGACATGGCCATGTTTGAAAATACTTTTGAGGGACTGGCAGACATATTAGTATGTGAACAGTTCATGACCACATGTTCAACTTATATGTCATTGTTTTTAAAGGAGAGAGCACCAAAAGATGTAGACAAAATGAATCAAGCTGGCAGAACAGTATATGGAAGCCCATGCAGGTAGAATAACTGGCAAGTCCAAGAATGTCCAGATAAATTTTAAACAAGTAATGGTTGACCAGAAACAGGAGTTTACCAAAGGTGACAGGAGGTTAATAGACAGAAGGGAAAAGAGATGTTACGTTTGTTACAAAATGGGGCACATTGCAAAAGAGTACAAGTCCATTACCAGCAAACAACAGCAGAAACAACATAAAGCAGCTGAAGCCATTTACAAAGACAGTGCTGGTGATAAACAAGAAAAGAGTGACTGGCACTATGGATGATGCTGCCAGAAGAAAGAGAACCAAGACTACTAGTCAAATTCAATACAAGAAAACATGATTGATCACTGAATGACTAATGGTTGGCTCAAATTAGCAAATGGATCAACAGTGAAACTAACAGTGGAAAAGGAAATAAAAAAAAAAAGTTTAATTCCATCAAAGCAAAATTCTAAAGTAATTGAATCAGCCTGAGTGCACTTTGACAAAAGGAACATATGTTCTTCAGAAGAGAGAAGACCACAGTCAAAGTGAATCACACCAGACTAATATTGCGATAGTATTAGAGAAAATAG